CCCCAAAACCCCAAAACCCCAAAACCCCAAAAAGAGAGAAGCTGATTGAAAAAATATAAAAGAGGATAAATGGGATCACCATTTAGCCAGCTAACACCACTAAGTATTTTGAGGGGATGCATTATTCATTTTATGAAAAGATTTTGGTTAAACTTGGGATAATGTAGACTTTAGAAAAATCAGACAGTATTCATGTCAAGAAACTCCTTTTTAGTTTCAGCAACTGTATCAATATCTTGAAGTTTTACGGTGGTATTGGAGAATCCTATTCTTTGATGTTCAGACTATGAACCCAGAGCAGAGCTCTCTGGGTCAAATACAATAAAGCTTTCATCAACGGACTCAGGGAATACAAGGGCACTAGAGTACTCAAATGAGCAAGACCTTTTAGCAAAGAAGTTGCTGAATACTTCTACGTTATCGAAGACCCAATAGAACTCCAGTTTTACGAGTACGTGCTGGTACTGAAGAAGGAGGAGTCAATCAGAGAGTTTTGAGAGTTCATCGAGAGCTACAAGCACAGAGACAAGATACAGTTCAAACAAATCTTTGTGCATTATGATAGAGAACTAGACTGAGCCCTCTTGAACTCTCCATATGATGTGTTGAAGAAATACACTTTAGATATCTCTTGCATCCAGGTAGAAGGATTGATGAATTTTGAACCTGAAAATATTGATGATATCTTAAAGTATACTTCCACGCTTACTTTGGACACTTTTGTTCACAATTCTGAAACTCAACTAGAGGAAAAAATTAGAGATATTTGAATCAAAGAGGCTCCAAGATTTTGATTCAATGACGCAGAGTTCAGTTCTTGTGATGATTTAGGTATTCCAATTTTGTAATTTTCTGACGAATTTCTATATAGCTAACCTCGAGGAAGTTTTACCAAAATTTATAAGAGAATCATGAAGAGTAGTTTGTATTCGAAAATTTAATGAAGAAGGACTATTTATAATAATAATACTTTGAAATTTGTTTCAGAAAGACTTTGTGAAATTTTCCCTAGATTTTCAAAGTTAACTGTTGCAATAGCAACAATCTCTGAAGCAGAAAGAAGCATGCATTATGTCCAAGAAGGGGTCTCTTTGGTTTCTTCGTGCACAAAAGATCCAAGCTTTGTTATAAAAGACTGCACTGTGTATTTTTATGACAGAGAGATTAAGGAATTTCAATCATTCTGTGCAGACAAGATCTCTTGTCAGAATGTCATCACTTCAGGTGAGAGAGGTAGGAAGCAGTATAAAGGATTTATTGCTATAGTTCCTAAATTTATTGTTTCAATTCAGAACATTCATTCTAAAAGCATTCAAGATTTGACAAAGTTTAAGAACTTTTTATCTCAATACTATCCTCCTGAGTTTGATAACATTGAGTATTGCCCTCCATTGGATTATTTTATTGAAGCTAAACCATTTGAGCTCATCATAGGAGGTGAAAACCTTGCTTATTGGAAGCCTCCTGCATGCAGATATCTCAAAATGAGTCTCTCAAAAGGAGTCCAAACTGACGATGTTGTTACAACTCTCCAAGGCATGAAGCCTACTTATTTCCAGCTCTCAGTCTATAACTTGGATTCAACTTATGATGATTTAATCAGACTTCTCGCCTTCAACGTCACTGACTTGGCTTTGTCGGTCAGACTTGAAGACTTGGCCAGCATCCCAGTTAAAGCCAAAGGCTCATTGAAGTCTCTGATCCTAGCTCGCAAAACCATCTACACACTAGTAATCAGTTGCAAAGGAAAGAGCCGCATGGTCAAGAGAATTGACTCAGACTTCGAGCAAACAATAGTCAATCTTTTTGGAGAAGTCCCTGACCTAAGTTTTGACAAGAATGTAATCTTCCATGAAGTTTTTCATTACTATTAAATCTCAACATCTAAGTCATGCAACGGGGTTTTGGGGTTTTGGGGTTTTGGGG